AGCCACGCCTCGGGGAAAAGCTTGTTGCTGAGAGAAGAGCTCACATTCACGGCGTCAGATCTCCGTGACCTTTTGATGTTAATTTTGATTAAAAAAAAAGCCATCCCTTGGGCTGGTCCCTAAAGCGCATGGGGACTTGTGTGTTCACTGTCATGAGTCACAAATGCCCTTGTCTATTTTAATTCGTTTGTCTAATGTATATTTCCAATTGTGAATTATTGAGTGGAGTTGATCATTTGAATTATGTACGTCAAACTTCTTTCACACCATACGAAGCTAACCGTGCTTATCTGAGGTGTGGGGGAAGGACAACAAACTAAACACAAAAAGAAGTTCGAAAGCAATGAGATTTCAATCTAGATTTAAAAGTGCAGAGCTCCAGCGGCTTCCTAATATCGAAAGGAAGAGCATTCCAGACGGCCACAGAAGCGCATCTGAAAGCGCCCGATGCAGTGACCACCTTTGTTCGATGGTCAGCCAAAAGCCGCTGCGAGGTTGGCCAGACTTAGCATGGTGGTTTATGGTCCTTGATGAGATCAGCAAGATATTGTGGTAAATTTTCTGAGAGGCTAGACTCTAGAGAATTCAGCTGTCGTGCAAATATCAAGATCAGGTTGCCATCGTGGACAAGGCCGTAGATGCCACCACATCTCACCAACGTACGTTGAACTTATTTCGCACCGTACGTAGCCAATTAATCGGAGGTGCGGGAGAAGGACAACAATTATAAATATACACTCTTTGGTTCTTTCGGTAAATTCACGTAGGTATAAAATAAAATAAATCACGACGTTTTGGGCGCAACACAAGCGTCCGTCATCAGGTGGGAAACCATGGCCTGCTGCTGTGGCAGACTGCAGCCATTTGCGAATAACGTCAGGTGCGCTCACAGTCACAATATTTAGATGTTCATTGTGTACATATACCCTCCCATCGGCTTCCGCGGGAGGGCTTAAAATGCATGGCGCATCGTGTGTGTACCGCCATAAATCACGTAACCCTCGTCTGTTTGACTTCGTAGATCATATCTAATATAAATAGCCAGACGCGAGTTATTACGTGAGTGATGGAAATTCTGTTGCAGAATGAGTGAAGAGCTGAAATTTGGTACAGTTATATTAACGTTATGCTTTCAGCGATAACGTGCGATGTTCATTGAGATGAAAAAAAACATTCCATCATCTGACGCGGGACTTTTCAAAATTGTTGATGCGTTGTGCGTTGATTGTCATAAGCCACATGGCTCCTCGTCTAATTGACTTCATAACATGTATGATCATCAGCAGCAGCAGCCATGGTCAGTCCACTGCTGGATGAAGGTCTCCCCAATCCCTCGCCACCTCTCAAGATCCAGTGATGCAACAATCGATCTAAGCACCCCACACACAAGCTGCACATCTTATGTGCATATATATCCAGTTGTTCGTTATTAAGTAATGCCAATTTTTATAATGTTGTAGAAGTGCTATAAAGCTTAAACTTGGTACAAATGTGGTTGAGTTTACGCTTATAACTAATCTTGATTTGAAGCTTTCGTGACTGCAGGAATCCATACTCCTTGGTTCTTTCGGTAAAGTCACGTAGGTATAAAATAAAATAAATCACGACGTTTCGGGCGCAACACAAGCGTCCGTCATCAGGTAGGAAAGCATGGCCTGCTGCTGATCCAGACTTTAATAAAAACATCAGCAGCAGGCAATGCTTTCCCACCTGATGACGGACGCTTGTGTTGCACCCGAAACGTCGCGATTTATTTTATTTTCTACCTACGTGACTTTACCGAAAGAACCAAAGAGTATGTTTTTGAATCTGGGCCTTCGGAAGCGTGTGTCTGGCCGTTTAGAAGAGAGCTGAATGAAACCAACGTGGCATCGGCTTTTCAAAAAGTCGAACATTTGGTGACCTTTTATGAAGAGTGTGACGGGAAAGTCAGCAGAAAGTGGCAGTTCCAGTATACTCACAGACATGTTTAGAATCGCTATCCTGCACCGTAGAGCGATCTGTCGATGGCTCCCGCGATGCCTCTCCACCCCTCTCACTCCACTGACCACGGCGCACCGCCACGTCCTATGAAGTGGGCGCCACGGTGGCTTGGAGATGTTAACTCCCCCGCCTGGCCTACAGGAGGTCGGGGTTCAATCACGACCCTGGCGCCTGCTGTATATTTGGAGTTTGTGTGTCTTTCTCTCATCATCATCCCGGTGGCTTGGAGATGTTAACTCCCCCGCCTGGTCTACAGGAGGTAGGGGTTCAATCACGACCTTGGCGCCTGCTGTATATTTGGAGTTTGTGTCTCTCTCTCATCATCATCACGGTGGCTAGGAGATGTTAACTCCCCCGCCTGGTCTACAGGAGGTCGGGGTTCAATCACGATCCTGGCGCCTGCTGTATATTTGGAGTTTGTGTGTCCCTCTCTCATCATCGTCACGGTGGCTAGGAGATGTTAACTCCCCGCCTGGCCTACAGGAGGTCGGGGTTCAATCACCACCCTGGCGCCTGCTGTGTATTTGGAGTTTGCGTGTCTCTTTCCCCATGGATTTTTCTCCGGGTCCTCCGATTTCCCCTCCACATTTAGAAACATGCGTTTAGAGTATTTGGCTGCTATACATTTACACGCGATAAGCCACTTCTTTGAGCTATGATTTGTGGCCAGGTCGCTTCGGGAAAAGAGCGAGATAGCTCAGTTGGCTTTACCTGGTAAAATGAAAAAAATGGTTTAGTTTAAATAGTTTTACGTCTTACAATCTGCTCGACCTAAGCAGAACCAGCACCGTCTTGGCTGAGCGCTGTGAGCGGTGTTTCTCCATACCTGGAACTACCTCCTACTGCACACACGCAGCAGGAGCACCCAAACCTCAGCATCCACCTTCAAGCAGCCCCTCAAGGCTCACATCTGTCCAGACCCTTACCCGTTCAGGTTCTCGCCTGGTTCAGGCTCTCACCTGTTCAAGATCTCACCTAGTTCAGATTCTCACGTGCTTCACGGTTTCACCTGTTCAGAGTTTCACCCGTTAAAGCTCTCACCCGTACTGGGGCAAGCATATTGGGACTGACTCTTCATCTCCCGAGTTCTCGATCAAACATTTCGTCCAATTCGTGAAATGTGTCTGCGTTGTAAATCGTGTTGATGATTAATATTATTAAACACGAGGATAATGGTGGTCGAGCGAGGGAATTACTAAAGCTGAAGAATATTTAAGAGTCTGAAAGCCGCACTGACAATTTATGCTCAAATCTGTTGGCCGACATTCCTTCCAGAGAAGTTTCTGGCCCCGTGAAACACGAGAGGGGAGCCTCGCACTCGCCTAACAACGACGACACGGCAGCACGACGAGGGATAGCGGCAAAACCTGGAGAGAGGCATTCATCCAGCAGTGGATTGACCATGACTGATGATGATGATGGCGTGTGTCATCCAAGGAACAGTCAGCTTTTTAATGTTGCGAAAGGGCTATATTTATATAATTAGCTTTTGTTTCAGACAATGAGATCATAAAATGTACGAACATTTTTTTATAATTAGGATGTTTTATGTACAAATTTATTTTACGTACATATAAGGAGTGTTCAACACAGAACATGAATTATACACACAAATTAAAATGTACGGATTGGTGACTTTTATATGCATTGACTGTACATCAATAAAATATCTACACTTTACAAATCTGGATTATTATTTCGAATGATTCAATATTGCAATGTTTTATATGCACACATATATGTATATAGTTGTGAGGAGGTGTTACTTGATGAAAGTGGTAAGGTTTTGCTGGCCTGCGCTTGAACATCGCACGTTTTGCATGGGAATTGCATGGGAACTAGGCACACATCACAAGTAAACCAGAATTAAAAATGTAAATAAATCTACTTTTGTTCCATGCCTCCACAAAAAAATCGGTCGTCCAGACTTATGTTAAACAGTCAGCATTCTAAATACGCAAACTCTGAACCAGTTTCGCCTTCCTGCTTTAAGATATGTTATTGGTAAATGCCCTTTTTTAAATCATGCGCCACCAGTGCAAATCCATGCGTTGAAGTGGCACATTCTGGGGAATTAAATGAGTTGCCTTCCCACAATTTGAATGTGATTGTTCCTCGTGTTTTTATTATGTAATTTTGCGTCTATAAATGTAACCATTCTCTCAATTTGTACACGTTAGTGCGCTAGCTACGAGAAGCGTAAATTGCTTACATTTCTGTTTTTTTATTTTCTCGACGTTTATTACATTTGTGTGGGAGGTTTACCAAACACACGGCGTTAGTCGTACGTTATTGTACTCGCGTACCGAAGGCGTACGTCGATAGCAGCATGAGGGGCCCGTGCAAGACGTTGACACCGCCGACACCTTGCGACACAAAGCGGCCCCGTGTTTGGTCTCGCCCCCGACGGAGAACAAAAGAGCCGAGACGCGCCATGGGCCTGAAGAAGGTTGTTGTCGCAGGCTGTCAGGAATGGGGCCGAGTCAGCATTTTTTAAAAACTATTTTGTGTTTCTGAGTTGTTCTTTTTTTTGGGGGGGAGGGGGTAGACTTGTGTGCTTATTTATTTATTTGTCGCGTGCGTAACGTTTGAGTGTTTTCATACGTTTTGCTTCATCGCACGTGGTTGAAAAAAGAAATGTGTAGAGACATAGAAAAATGCTAACAAAAATGCTAACAAAAAGTCTAACGCGATAAATATTGTGGAAGTAGCAATCTCTGGGAATGGATGGGAGGTGCCTGAGCAAGAACACGGACAAAAGATCTTCCACGGTGAGAGACGCAGACACCAGCTGACATTTAGAAGGTATTCGGCACACGATTGATGGTGGTGTCATGTTGGACTTATCTGGATCTTGCGAGAACACTTTAAGTCACGCATGCCTAGGTGTGTGTGTTTGCAATGCCCCCTTCTATGAGAACGCCATTCTGGCTGACACCACCCAGACATGCTGGTATATTTAGATACTGTTGCTAAAACAATAGTCTGATGCTCAAGTGGGCTTTGTGGTTGCTCGCGAGGTTGGAGACTTGTAGCAAGTGTCATCTGACGACCGGAGCAGGTTCCGGCTGGGGTGTATAAAAGGGCCCCTGCAAGAGTTTGAGACCCACACACCAAGCAGAGGAGCTCAGCTTTCGAAGGGAAGACTTTGCAAGGCCTTGCTGAACTGACAACATGTTGAGGTGAGCCTCCTGTCTCATAAACTCCGATCTCTGCACGTGGCCGAGTGCCTCAGGGCTCGTAGCAACGAGCTGCCACCACCACTGAAATTCTGCTTTCGAATCCGGACAGCCACCTGTGATTAAGCTGAATTGTTAAGTACTGAATAATAGAGTTGTTCATATTCTTAGCTCTTTCGGTAAAGTCACGTTGAAGGGAAACAATAAAATAATAAAATATATAAAACAATAAAAATTCTCACGACGTTTCGACCATAACACAAACGGTCGTCATCAGGTGTGTCGGTTTGCATAAATGTAATTTTAAACGGTTTATTTATTTATTTAAAAAACGTCAGCGCCACGCGCAGCGAATTGGCAGTTTATTTAGAAGGACGAGTCCATCTATGTCCTAAAAAGAGGAGGGGGGGGGGGACGAAAAATTAATGTATGCTGTCTGAAAGCCACTGTAAGCATGAACAATCAATTAAGACCTGAAATTGTTAATCAAACCTTTCCAATGGTTGCTAAGCCAGAATCCATCTTCTCGGTTGAAATTGTATCTGTGCTTGTATATGTGGATAGCCTCATGAACGAATCTCTCATGGTAGCCAGATGGCTTACAAATAACCTCTGTCTTGGAAAAGACCTCTGTCTTGGAAAAGACAGAGGTTCTTTGTAAGCCATTTGGCTACCATGAGAGATTCGTTCATGAGGCTATCCACATATACAAGCACAGAGACAATTTCAACCGAGAAGATGGATTCTGGCTTAGCAATCATTGGAAAGATTTGATAAACCATTTCAGGTCTTAATTGATTGTTCACGCTTACAGTGGCTTTCAGACAGCATACATTAATTTTTCGTCTCCCCCCTCCTCTTTTCAGAACATAGATGGACTAGTCCTTTTAAATAAACTGCCAAATCGCTGCGCGTGGCGCTGACGTTTTTAAAATAAATAAATACACCGTTTTTAAATAAATACATTTATGCAAACCGACACACCTGATGACGACCGTTTGTGTTATGGTCTAAACGTCGTGAGAATTTTTATTCTTTTTATATATTTTATTATTTTATTGTTTCCCTTCAACGTGACTTTACCGAAAGAGCTAAGAATATGAATTACTGCAGTCACGAAAGCTTTAAATCAAAATTTTATAGAGTTGTTCGTTTTAGTCCGAGTTGCCAATAACGGGACCAAAAATAAAATATTTCAAGTAGAAAAATTTGATTGTGCAAAAAAAAAATTTACGCCGAGAATGACAAAAAAAATAGCTTTTATTGACGTGATAAAAAAAAGTCCAGTAAATTTTTTGAATATTTCTTTGCTTGAGATATAATTTCCATGGGGTGGAAAAATTGGAAAGAAAAAAGCATAGGTTTGAGAATAAAATGTTGGTCTAATTGCCCTGTGAAGAACATCTCTGTAGCAGGGTGCTTGTTGATACGAGGTTACTGGAAATAATCTCATAAGTAAAGCACAAATAACAATAAACTCAACACGTTCATCAATAACACTGTAGTCTTTAAAATATTACTACATAAAAGGTGACGTTTCACGCAATGGTCTTCTTCACAGCAGGACACTCTCTAACACAGAGGGGATGAGACACTTCTCAGTATGCACTCCCAGGATTACCAACGGACATTTATTAATCTCATGAGACAATTGCCCATAGAATGACCAAAATGTAATCGTGGGGAAATACGTTTAAAACAAATCTAACTCGAGGGGTCAATGTGTAATGCATAGGCTTGGTACAATTTCTATATCACACACGCTTTCAACGTCTTGACACTTTTTAGAATCAGAGCTTCATTAAACAACAAATGAAAATACATGTTAATCATTACGTTTGGACCTCACTTCTAATATCCCATGAAGTTATACTCAATGCTAATAGTGGCTTTTACGTGGAAAGTAAGTGTTATAATAGCCCATGGGCTATTGCTGTGAATTTTAACTCGTAATATGAACAATTGTTTAAATCATTAGACCTCCCTTGCCAGTACCAAAATGTAATAATAGGGTTTTTCCCCTTTTTTTTCTGGCAACAAAACTGAAACCTTTTTACAAGGATTCATGTCTGCATTAATCACAATACCTGCAGTCAAAATGCAAACAAAAAACATACTATGATAATATATGCATTGTCCTTGAAACTGATTTGTCCACACCAAGAAAGCCGTCCCTTGATGTGGACCAATCAGTTTCAAGGACAATGCATATATTATCATAGTATGTTTTTGGTTTGCATTTTGACTGCAGGTATTGTGGTTAATGCAGACATGAATCCTTGTAAAAAGGTTTCAGTTTTGTTGCCAGAATAAAGGAGAAAACCCCTATTATTAATTGTTTCAAAGATTTATAACAATTTACAGACAATGGTCAATGCACTGCTCTATCGAGGCCTTCCCTTGCTTTATCTGCCATGGGGGTTGTTTGACCATACTTCACCATGCTGGCCAGCACAAGATGGTAGAGGGTTCAGATCTTCTGTCATTTGGCTGCTGATGTAGATGTAGAGCAACCACAATTTCACATTCCGGTGGTCAAGCCAGACAACCGAGTCAGGAGCAGTGGAGTGTTATCGATGTGAAGGGTTCAGATGTAATGTATTAATGAAGTGTGTTCACCACTGCACCTCTATTGTTGTGAATACTAACCTGCAAACAGCATGTCCCCTTGGTTTGAGTGATGCACGCAGGATATCTCCTTTGTGTTTGTTTAAAAACAATTCCGAAGTCATCTCTTGGTGTTCTTAATTTTCATTTCATTTTATCCTTGCCTATTTACATTCGTGTTTATATTCAGTTCTTGCACAGAGAAGATGAGTAGCTTCAGTGTATTATGGATATTAGGTACAAATACAACATAAATTCGAATAATTAGAGAAAGGCAAGTTCGTTTTCTTGGAAATGTACTGAGAATATAAGACTTGTAAAAAATGTATTGTGACTGGGAAAATTCTGGGTAAACAAAGCCAAGGAAAACAGCGAATTAAATACATAAGCAAATTTTAACTAAACTATGTTTTATTTTACCAGGTAAATCCCACTCAAAGAATTAGATGCTACTAGGACTATCCAATGTAAAGTTCTTGAGTAATATGTATTGAGATAAATGGAAGGCCACGTGTTCAAGAAAATAGATGGCACATAGAGAGTGTTTATATCCCAGAGAAGTGGTGGCACAGTGGTTAGAACCCTGCCAATTGAGATTGATTCACAGCCACGGCTAACATCAGTGGCAAATAATCCCTTCACTGGTTCTGCGGCACCTCCTTCACCAACCCACACTGACCCACATGGTGAAGGGTGGTCAACCCCCATGACTGACACAGCATGAGAAGGTTTTCATTCAGCAGTGGATTGACATAGGGCTCTACATGATTATTTAGTGTTAATATCTGGCTGTGCCTCACCTTCCTAATATTATATATTATGGTAATGAGCAGTGGCTACTCTTGATATGAGCAAACCAATCACAAGTGTAGGGCCCCAAGGAGCGCAAGGGGCCCTGAAGTCACGAAAAAAATTGTTTGCATTAAATATCAGCTCAAATTAAAATCCTTATAAACATCACAAGCCAATTAACATAAAAAACGAATTAATATTTCTGTTATATTCTTAGTTCTTTCGGTAAAGTCACGTTGAAGGGAAACAACAACGTGGCTTTACCGAATGAACTAAGAATTTGAATTACTGCAGTCATGAAAGCTTTAAATCAAAATATTTCTGTTCTCTATCTTTCCTGCATCTGTCTTCTCTTATCTCATTACATCTCTGGTGTGTAACTCTTCTGTCTGTCTCACGAACCTTTTATACATTGACAACGGAGGCCCTCAATGGGCCATCACTACCACTGATCACGAGTCACGGCTGCAAATTGTTCCAGAGCTAATAATATGCTCCTAGTATTAAATCACATTATACAAAGTTAATTGGACATTTATTTACGCAATAATTTAAGTGCGTGCTTACTGGTTGGTAGTGAGTAACCTATATTTTTTTAAATTTCTGAAATAGTATATTATCATTTTATTTATTGATTTTGATAAATACCCTTATACGGATTTCCACGTTTGTTGTGGAACTGTAATGAAATGGTCAAGGTTGCACTGATGTATATGTGTTTTGAATGGTTATTTGTTGCTGAATGAATACTCGATGTTCTTAATTTACAGATTGCGCATATCTATTCAGATATTATGTTGTCAATTGTTTATTTGATTTAACCAGGCGAGAAGAGACCGGGATAGTCTAGGTCGTGAGAGTGACCTGAATAAATGTAGAGATTGTAAACTTATATTTCAGACTGGGCCCATGCCACTGTTGTCAATATTTGCTCTCCCTAACAAAAAATATTTGTCAATATTGTAAATTTTGATTTAAAGCTTTCATGACTGCAGGGATTCATATTCTTGGTTCTTTCCTTCTACGTGACTTTACCAAAAGAACCAATAATATAATATTGTAAATGTTTATTCCCCTTCCCAATATTTGCACCCCTCTATTTTATTACAACAAATTCATCTTTTATTGCATGGCAGTAGTCTCTGTCAATGTATTTTCAACTAACGCCCCTGCATTTTAAAGCCACTTTCCAAACTTATTTGTGAAAAGTTTTGCTCAACTTTTGATCAAAAGTAATCTGGGCAATAGCCCAAACTAACCAGAACCACAGCCAAACCCTAACTGTAATCTAACACGAACCACAAACTAGCCCATACCATAAAATAATCCGAACCACAAACTAACCCTAGCCACAACCTAACCGGAATAATAAACCTAAGCCTAACAACTGTCCACGACTGCGAAGAAAAATTCGTTCCTCCAGGGAAAATAAATACATAAATAATGGCGCAAATATTTATTTGCATTTATCCGCAATGGCCAACCTTTGAAAATGCGAGTGTTAGTCATAGGAGCAAAGAACCACTCTGTTCAAATGTGCGTAGAGTGATGCCCATCTCCACTGGGAGTCTCGGGCCTGTGTTGGGACTTCCACAATCCCATGG